CTTTGGGGCGGGGGGGGGGGTAGGTTGAGAGGGTTGGAGGAGAAGGGGGTGGGATAGACGGATGTATGTATATAAGTATATCGACATACACACACACACATACGCATATATACATACATACACATATGTGCATATATATATATATATATATATATATATATGTGTGTGTGTGTGTGTGTGTGTGTGTGTGTGTGTGTGTGTGTGTGTGTGTGTGTGTGTGTGTGTCTGTGTGTTTGACATAGATAAAGAGATAGACAGACAGAGAGATAGACAGATCGATATATAATAGGCCAGTAGATAGTTCCGCATGTGTACTGTGTGTGGTGTATCTTGTTATGGGAAACGACCATCAGCATGGATAAGCTAATGTAACCTAATAACATCTGCTAGGAGAAACGCTCGCTTGTAGAATGGGTAAGTAAATTGAATGAAAGTCTAATTGTATAGAATATATTAACAACGACGGCCAGAGAGATGCAGTGGTTATGGCGACTGATTTTCATTGTCATTATTGGAAAAGCATTTGATGATATCTGCATGCCAAAACCAACATTTCTATCCATCGGCATTGTGTGCAGAATTAAAATAGCAACAAAATCACATATAACCACAGTATGATAACTAAATGTACATGTTTAGTGAATATACACATACGTTCTGAGCGCTGAGGTAAACAAACACATAAAAAAGTCACATTCCACATGGAGGCAAACTGTACATGGACAAATAAGCTTTGACAAATAAACTATGTCCAACAAACAAACACAGGAAAGGTTATGTGTTTACTCCCATAAAATTTATCAGTTTTCCTGTTTTCCATTTTATCTGGAACGTGTAAATACTCCTGTAGATAAGAAGAATGGAAAAGATGAAAAAAATATATATACTATTATTGTTTACTTTACTTTACTTTTACTTATTTTACTGTTATCTTATTTTAATCTTATTATTATCCAATCATTATTTCATTAGTATGTTTGTATTTCATTATATTTTACCTTGATGTTATCATTATCATTTTCGTTATAATTATTATCTATTTCAAGGAAGCAAACACGTACTTGGCACGTCGTTCATAACCGGGAACTCTGATGCTAATTTACAAGACGAGCAAAACAAATAAATGAACAAAAGGTTGGGGTGGGGGGTGGGGGGTGGGTATGGGGGTGGGGGGATAAATGCGGTTGAAAGGTCAGAGAATAAAAATTCACAATCCATCACATGGAATGAAAAAGGAAAAATGAATATGAACGAGTTTATTAGATACACAATAATATATATTTTTTTTTTATCACTGCTGCAGCTTCATCGGGATTTGATTGAATTGTCTTGTATTCATTTTCCTCCAAAAGAGAGAAAAAAAAGAGAAGTATCAGTGACGCAGAACAGCAACGCAACCAAAATAATGAGGTTATCCTGCAATGCAAAGTATGAAGATTCTAATACTAAAGACTAAAACAGAATTGAATAAAAGACAAGCATGACACAAGAAAGAATGAGAGAAACAAAAAGGAAAATATTCTCGGAGCAGAGAGCCTCGCCAATTATTCTTAATGTGCCAAAGAAAATATGAAAATACGTATATAAAAAAAAAAAAATCGAGCAAACCAAAATATCACAACACGATTCACGAAACAACAACAAACAAACAAAAAACTCAAACAAACATCCTCTTATCCTTCACACTCTTCATTAATCTTCACCATTCTACACCTTTTATCACTCTACATCTTTTATCATCTTTCTTTTACTTTCTTCACGCGCCCTTCGACCTCCCCCCCCCCCCACGACGCTGGCAACAATGTGGCGGCCGCAAAAGTTTCTGGAAATAATGTTGAAAACTTTCCTGGCCATTTAGAGCGACGGCGCCGCACTTCCCTCGGTCTCTCCTCTTAGTCGGACTTTTTTATTTAGTTGATTTTATTTGCTTTGCATTTCTTTTATTATAGTTACATTGATTGTTATTAATATCACTACCATCATCATCATCATCATCATCATCTTTATTATAACTATTGTTATTATCATTACTATAATTACTATGAATGGAGAATATACCTACATACACACACACACACACACACACACACACACACACACACACATATATATATATATATATATATATATATATATATATATATATATATATATATATATATATATATATATATATATATATATTATGTTTCTGCCTTTGTTTTTTCGTGTTTGATTTATTTAAAAGCCGATTTTCTATACCGTAGCCATTCATATTAGCTTGCTTTTATCTCATGTTTTCAAGGCCCGTTTGCAATCAATCAAACTGGCTGCCAACTGAGAGCCTCTGATATATGCAACAAATCATTTTTTTTCAGCTTCATACATTCATTATTCACTTACATTTTTTTTTTCCTATCCTCATTCCTCTTCGTAAGCTCTTTCTTCCTCCTTTGGTATTTCTCCTTTCTTTCCCTCTCTTCTACCGTCTCATTTTGCCGATCTAAAAGGCTTAACGAAGAGAGGCAGAGATTGATCGGTCCCTTTGGTTAGGCACAGAACCCTTAGTGAAGGACAGGGGAGAGGGAAGGAAGGAGGGAGAGAAAAGTGGGAAGGAGAGGGAGAGAGAGAGAGAGAGAGAGAGAGAGAGAGAGTGAGAGAGAGAGAGAGAGAGAGAGAGAGAGAGAGAGAGAGAGAGAGAGAGAGAGAGAGTGAGTGAGAGTGAGATTGAGGGAATGAAAGAGAGAGAGAGAGAGAGAGAGAGAGAGAGAGAGAGAGAGAGAGAGAGAGAGAGAGAGAGAGAGAGAGAGAGAGAGAGAGAGAGAGAGAGAGAGAGAGAGAGAGAGAGGCTGACAGACAGATAAACAAAGACAGACGCACACACATGCAAAATGACATGCGAATTCATAAAAGAAAAGAAGAGAAGCATCGCTCCAAATAGGATATACGAGCGAACTGGACCAAAATCATTACATTCTATCTTCTCCTTTCTTCTTCCCCTTCGATCGCTCCCTCTTCTTCATATATTCTCTTCCCCTTTTTCTTTTTATCCTCTTTCTAGGCTCCTTCCTTCCCTCGTTTCCGTTTTCCTCTGCTCTCTCTCTCTCTCTCTCTCTCTCTCTCTCTCTCTCTCTCTCTCTCTCTCTCTCTCTCTCTCTCTCTCTCTCTCTCTCTCTCTCTCTCTTCTTTCTTTTTCTCTCCTTTTTTCGTCTTCCATGTTTTACTCTTTCCTTCTTCCTGGCTCCTCCTTTCCCTTTCACCCTTTCCTCTCCTCCCTTCTCCTATTCACCCTTTCGTCTCTCCCCTACCCACTTATTCCCTTCTCCCTCCTCTTTTCTCCTTTTCCCTTTCCCTTTTCCCCCTTTATCTTTTATCCCTTTCCCCTCTCTCCCTCTTTCCCCTCTTCCCCATCTCCCTTTCCCTTTTCCCCCCTTTCTCTTTTATCCCTTTTCCCCCTCTCCTTCTTTCCCCTCTTACCCATCTCCCCTCCCGTCCCCCCCCCTTTCTCTTTTATCTCTTTCCCCTCTTCTCCCTCTTTCCCCTTTTCCCCATCTCCCTCTTTCCCCTTTTCCCCATCTCCCTCTTTCCCCTTTTCCCTATCTCCCTCTTTCCCCTTTTCCCTATCTCCTTCTTTCCCCTTTTCCCTATCTCCTCTTCTCAACCTGACCCATCGTCATCTGGCATAACCCCCCCCCCCCCCGCATGCCTTGACACACACGGCGACGAGAAGCCTTAGGAAGGGACTCGGTGGCGTTGGTGTCTCGTGGATGCAACTTTTCCTCCGCTTTGAACTCTCTGTTGCAAACGACCTGATGTTTTTGGTTTGTTGCTTTAGTTGTGGTTGATTGTTTTCTGTATTTTTAGATTTTATTTATTTGATTGATTTTTTTTTATTTGTTATGTTTGTTTGTTTTTGTTTTGCTTTTTTTTAATTGCGGTTAATTGTTTTGGTGTGTTTTGGATATTTTTTTTCTGATTTGTTTTTGTTTTTATTTTATTTTCTATTATTTCTTTTGATATGTTGTTGTTGTTGTTTTTATTTGTACTGATTTGTTTTGATTTTCGTTTGTTTATATTTGTTTCCATTTTGTTTTGTTTCTTATTCTGCATTTGTTTTTATTTGTGTTTATTTGTCTTATTTGCTTTTATTTGTTTTGGTTCGTTCTTGATTTGTTTTGAATCTTTATTTCTTTTTTTATGTTCTTGTGACTTTGTTCGGTTTTCTTGCTTAAGGATTGGGTTTGGATCTCGGTGATTGGAAACGATTAAAAAAAGTGCGTGAAGGTTTGAGAGGATTGGAAATTGAGCGAAAAGGCGGAAAGGGATTGGAAATTGAGGGAGAAGGTTTGAGATGATTGGAAATTGAGGGAGAAAGCTTGGGATGATTGGAAATTGAGGGAGGAGGCGGAAAGGGATTGGAAATTGAGGGAGAAGGTTTGAGATGATTGGAAATTCGGGGCAGGAGGCGAAAAATAAGGGGAAATTAAGTGGAATCTGATAACGTATTAGAATCGTTATTTTTAATCATGCAATCTCAAAATAAAAATAACTGGTATTTAATCATGAATAAGGCTAAATCTTGATTTTATTTTTTTTTTCTCTTTTTTAAAAGTTATTGATTAAGATTATTAAAACGAACGATGGAAATTATTTTAATACGAATAATTCTGCAATGACTCTTCTGTGAATAATAAAATATTTTTCACTTCAAAAAGTATCTTTCTCGTAGCGTTTGTCTTATATTTAATCAGGAAAAAAATACAATATTGATATAATACAATATATTCCTTAGAGGAGAATAATAGAAAAAGCCCTCGAGAGATTTTGTCAAAGATAAATGCTTAGAGTCACTCCGTTTTGTGTAATAGTGTGTTCATAAAGCTGCTTTAGAACAAAATCTAAAAGATGAAAAATTTGATAATCAATAGACATATATATGTATATATATATATATATATATATATATATATATATATATATATATATATATATATATATATATATGTATATATATATATATA